AATTTAAGTTTAATAACGAAATAATTTATTTTTGATTTAATAATATAACATTTTATAAAGATAATAATAAAGTATTTTGTTAGAACTCAATGACAATCCTAATTATATTTTAGATTTTTTAATATTTAAAACAAGATGTTTATCTTGTATTTGATTATGTTTACTTATAGTTAATTACACGAATTCAGATATGAAACTTTAATAAGTTGTACTTATGCACAATCTACTTGTAATCTTGAGTTTTAAGTAATATGCATTAATAAACAACACTTTACGCATAAAAAATGATTTTTAAGAGTTTTTGTCAAATGTTTTATAATATAGTATAAATTATGTGTTTTTTAAGAAAGCAATAATGATTTTATTTTTGAATAAAATATAAATTTGAAGATATCATAAAAATTTGAAAAAAAAATATATATCACTGTTAATATCTAAAATCAACTATTTAAAAGTTCTCATTTTTTATGTAATTTATTTAATTTATTTTTTTATTATGATTTATTTTAAGTTTAATAATGAAATAATTTATTTTTGGTTTAATAATATAACATTTTATAAAGATAATAATTAAGTATTTTGTTAGAACTCAATTATTATCTTAATTATATTTTAGATTTTTTATATTTAAAATGAGATGTTTATCCTGTATTTGATTATGTTTATCTGCAGTTAGTTACACGAATTCATATATGGATCTTCAATAAGTTGTACTTATGCACAATATACTTGTAATCTTGAGTTTTAAGTAATATGCATTAATAAACAGTATTTTACGCATAAAAATGATTTTTAAGAGTTTTTGTCAAATGCTTTATAATATAGTATAGATTATATTATTTATCTTACTAAATAAAAATTTATATATTTATAATAATCAAAATTAATTGTTTTTCTACCAATTCTGTATTAAAAAGAAAAAAACACTTTCAAAATTGCAAACCTTACAAAACAATATTTTAAATAAATCTTTACATGCTAATTATATTTGTATTAAAATAACCAAATACTACGTCTGTTTGAAAACAGAGAATTGACTGATTATGCTAAAATTCACATTCTACCTTTTCAAAAACTACTCTTTTAACTCAAACAAGACTCGTTTTTTCAGCATCCATTTGTCAAAAAAATCAGAAGCTTAATCACCTACCAAATACTTCGCAATACATTGCATGATGTTCACACTATTGGATTACTGTGCTCTAAACTTCTAACGAGTTATAGCAAAAATAATAAATATAAGGGGCCGTTTACTAAATATGTACCGGATAAGCGCTTAACAATATCATGCATCTTTTTGATCGAGCGGGTATAATAAGGACCAATAAGTTACCCGATAAGAGTCATAACAAGGATCGAGAGTCTTAACCCGTTAAGTGAGGAAAAAAACTTTTACGTGGTAAACAATTACCGGGTTTAACATTATTACCAACAATCTATTTTTCTAAGTATATAATATTTATATACGGTAAATGCAACAAATAAACTCACACACCTTCCTCATCTTTGATGACTAATAATGTTACATGATATGGTAAGTGAGAATAATTTCTATTAACAATCCCTAAGTGTCCAACGCTTAGGTAAAATGTCAAAGCCCGACTACCGTTTTTTTTTTGGRGGGGGGGGGGGGGGATGTTAACTAGCCATTTTTTTGCTAGTTGAAATAGTGAATTCTCCAATTGCCAGAATCCACCTTTTGTTAATTGGTGAGTCAAATCAGTTGAAAAATCAAATAGATCACTTATTCTGAAAAGTCAAATTTTATCAGTCTTGTAGGAATTCGACCGAGGCATTTGACGAAATTCATGTGACAACACATGGTTGGTCGAAATCAAAGATGGACCGATTGACGGATTCACTTTGACAGGAATCCATAATTATTTCTTTAGAACCCTTAACAAATTGGTTATTTTTTCAAATTTCTTGTCATAAATAACTAGTTTGATGGAACCCTTTTTTGTTCTAGCCATTAGAATTTTAGGCCATACCCTGGTCTTTATATCTTTAGTATTTAAAAATAATTTACGAACCATTTACAACGCTTACCGGCAAGAGTCACCATCTTCACTTACCGTATTGGACAACAATCTCGGCCACTAAAATATATTGTCATTAAGCTTCTTTTACACGGTAAACGCTTACCGGGTATGAATCTTCTCCTTTATTTACCGGATAAGATTCTTGGTCCTTATTATGTCTCTTACCGGTAAGATTTTTGGTTCTTGTTATGTCTCTTATCGGTAAGATTATTGGTCTTTGCCATATCCACACGCTAAAGCAAGTGATACCCAATAAGCGTTTATCCGATACACATTTGGTAAACGGTCCCTTAACTGGTTTCAAGTCAATTGGCTGGACTTGGTTCASTTAAAACTTATCTTACCAAGTACTAGAGGTATACAAGCATATAGAAAAATTTAAAAGAATGTACGTATGTATATGCTGGATGCAAATGAAGCTCCTCCTGCCTAAAGTATAGAAAAAAAAACAATAAAATACATAGTATAAGTAAATATATGATATTAGATACCACCAAAAAAAGACCCTGAATCCTCTGCACACCCTAGTTCAATTTGACAAGGACACATCAAATCAAAATATTAAATACCAGTGCCTATGCATTGCATATGCTGTGTGACTGATGGATGAAAAAGATGTTGCCAACAATTCGTGAAATTATAATTTTTCTCACAGGCATCCTGCTACCTTCACTTGTACATCATGCATCAACATTAATACAAATATAATTTTATATTTGTATTAAAAATTAAACATATCAGAAGACTACGTACTCAAACATAAAGAAACATTAATAAATCCATAAGATTTATGTAAAACTAGACCTAATGAACATATATGTTTTTTAACTTAGGGGTCGTTTACCAAACACTTACCTGGGTAAGTGTTTATCAAGTCACATTACCTCACCGGGTGAATATGGTAAGGGCCAAGAATCTTACCCGGTAAGAGGGAGGGCGACGACTCTTACCACAGTAAGTGCTTACCGGGTAAATTGTTGCATATGATGTTGTTTTGGTAGACTAAAATCTTACCCGGTAAGTAAATAATAGTGTTAAATTTTACCGTTAAACACTTATCGGGTAAGTGTTTAACAAACGGCACTTATAGCATTCAAAATTTGGGAAGAATAAGTATGAAGAAAGAGAAAAGAAACTTACAAGATGTAGTCTCTGAGCGTGCCATCACATTCATCTCCAGATTGTGGGCCCTTCATTTGCTGTGAATTCCAGTATTTTTGTTGAGAATCCAAAGACCAAATGGAAAGCCAGGCCACACACACAAAAGGGCTTCAATCCAACCCTGCACTTTTTACAACGAAAAGACCCATGTCTTGTTTTTGTTCAGAAAAGCAAAAAAAGAAAAAAAAAAAAGTCAAAGTCAAAACAGAAACAATGATGGATTAGTGATTGAGGAATGAGCATGGATATATTGTCAATCAATGACATTTTCTAACATTTTTAGAGACTACCAATTTCATCTAAAGCAATCTCTTAAACCACTATATATTACTGGCAAAAACATAATACGCTTCGGACATTTCAAATGCTGCAACTCTCGAGTTAAGAAAATATAAAAGCACATAATACAGCACGTATGTACGGCATCTATAACTCTAACTATACAAGTGATAAGAGAAGGATTTGTAAATAAGAATATATATATCAAGTGCTACATTGAAGTTCATGTGGTTTCAAAGTATAGACATGTTAAACCTGCAACTTCAAGTATCTGTATCAGCAGGGAAAGCCTTCTCCAGAAAATTGAAGAAACGTTTAGAGTAAAACTTGGGATCAGCAACGGATATTGACATGGGATCGTGGCGTACGGATTTATATGCGTGCTCTATTTTCTTTCTCACATTGTATTCCTGGAGTATATCGATAATACCGAGATAGAGAACAACATCATAGACCTCGAAAAGTTCCACTTCTGTGGAACCTGAAACATCCTGTGAGACCTTATGGTTTGCCTGAGCTGGCATGTTTACGCCTAATTGCACACGTAACCTGAAAGAGGGTTTCGAGAGATTAGGTAAAACAGGAAGAGGTATTTTATGAAATTAAAGTCTACACTCTTGGTCATTTCATGGAATCTTGGTTCAATTCAATGACAACAAATTTAACATACCGAACCAAACCAATAAATCCAATCTGGAGTTAGGGTAGGTTTTTTTTTCTTTTTTTTGATTAACCTGGATATCCAACCCGCTATGCAAGCTGACTAATCCCAGGCCGACCACCTGCTTTGCAGATAACCCGGAGTCATTGCATTTGAACCTCCATGGCCACAAGGGGATTTTTTTTGGGGAGGGGGGGGGGGGGAATTTAAGATGTAAGCAAATCTCTGTGCCTCAAGGAGCAAGAGGTTGTTCCAAAAGACACCAAACTTACGAAAACGATTTGAAAGCTTAACAAGAAGCCACGGTTTTGCAGAAAATAAATAAACTAACAACAGATTTAGAAAACATTGCAAAGAGCCTGAAACAATCGGAATTTTTTCATGTGACAAGCAAAACGAGAAGACCTAGCTAAAAGGCACCCGGGAAACTCCAAAGATTTCCTCCTCGATCTAATCTAGGGTACTGGAAACCTATCTGTCGACTCGCTAATTTCCCCCACCCCACCCACTACCCTCCTACCCCCTTTCGCCCAACTGCAGGACCTGAAACAGTCCTAAAAGTTCTCGACTACCCTAATCCGCCTCTTCCAAGATACAAATTTGACCTGGACATTCCACTGATAATACTAACACTCTTCCAGCTCAAGTCATGCTCTGAATTTTGCAGTCCAAAGGGTGATCTTTTAAAGACCGACATGATTTTATGGAGTAAATTTGAAGTGTTAACTGTTACGGAAATGCATCACTATCCTATTCGCAAGTAAATTAGTAAAGTTTTTGTGTCAATCTTCATAAAATAAATAATGGTTATGCTGCAATATATCAGCTTTACAACAAAAGTGAACACAGAGCAGAACCAATACCTTCCAGTACCAGGAAGAAGGAGATCAACTTCCTTGTCCCCTACAGAAAATGCTCTCAAGGTACTTCCTCTACTGTGTGGACCTGGAGCAGTATTTACAGAATTCGGTTCATGTGTCACCAGGAGAAGTCCCTTTGGAGGAATTGAACGGTCCAGATGACAAATTGTACCTAAAAGAAGCACAAGAGATCTGTAAATTACATTTAAGCAAGAATATGTATACAAATACGTGCATGATAATGAAATAATGAAACAAAGACAAGTGCCATGATAGATTACAGAAACAGCAACGGGAATAGAATTAAAAAAAGCAAGATTGGGAAGCTATCCTGTTTCAACTAGGGATTCATTTGTTATGTAATATCTTCCTTTGGATATCCTACAATATTTTCCATGACTAAATTTGGATGGAGACGGAATATTCCGAACATATTTCAATCTTGTCTTTCTAGGAACCTTACGTACATTTTAGGATGACGGGTAGTTATACTTCTTCAAATGCATGTGTAAAGGAAATTGACATGATTATTTCAAATAAGCCAACAGGAAGTGGAAAGGAAAAAAAGGCACCATGTAGCCAACACGGAAAAAGCTTTCCCAAAGCTTATTGTTCAATGATAAAAATCCAGACAAATTGATTTTCACACAACACTTAGCTTCAAGTCAAGTATAGTTCGTTACAAGCTCAAGTATAGAGACATAACTTTACCATCATCAGCAGGAGCTTTTTCAGGCCTGTGGAATGCATCTGGCGGTTCTAAGAGAGTCTTCAAATGCTCAGGAGCTCTAAAATGCAGTCCCAGAAGAAGGCTATAATCGATAATCCGTTGAGATTCCAAAAATTTGCAGTCTAAAGATATTTGTCTGCAAAAAGTTAGGAGGGAATTCGAGTGAAATATTAAAAACAATAGTACAAACGGAATAGTTGACATAGATGATGGCATAACAAACCTAAGTTTGAGTTTACGAACAAATTATAGAAAGAGGAAACATAGGGAAAATCACTAAATCAGTTAAAGCATAAAAGCAATGTGCAATGCTTAGTCTCTTTAAATGCATATACATTTGTCTCTTTTTCTCTGCTCCAATCATCAATGTAATGTTCAACAACATATGTTGTTTGATCATAGGTACAAAGGAAATTTGACAACTTATACAAGTTATATAAATTATATGCATGTCAGAGTGATTTGTTCGGTTGGAACTCAAAAGAGGTGACGCCTTCATGAAAAGTTAGGTAGTGCACATCCACAGATGGCTAGAAATTCTGTGTACTATTGTTAAGTATCAAATCTAGGATCTTCAAAGCTCTAACGCCGACATCTTACTTTTATAAGAGTGGATAATTCTTATATTGATGTGGTTCTAACAAACTTACTTGAAAAGTGCATCACGCAATGACTTGTCCATATGGAAATCATAAGCAAGATCAAGGTCTTTTAATGTGGTACCCTCTTCTATGTCATCCTTATTTGTACTTCTCCCTTGATAAGAACCCTTTAAATCATAACGACGGTGTATCCGAAGTTCTGTGTAAAACATATTTCCCATGACAACAAACTGAACCTAAAAAATGAGATTAAAATAAAAATTAATTATATTGATCACTATAAACTATGGAAAGCAGAATAAGTGGATAAAAGGCCAGATACCTTCTTGCCACCTCTCAATGTTATCTCATGCAGGCCATAGAACTTAGTGATCAGAGTGTTATCATGTGCTTCTACGTGTTTGTAATAACTAGGAAGCATCTTTAGTAAAACCTACAGAATATCATAAGAAGACAATGTCAACACTTTCTACTTCCGTTCAGAAAAAAATGCACAATTCTTGAGCCATGTGAATAGAGTGGTAGTGAGTTTAACAAGTTATGAATGTACTAAAATCACAAAGCAGTAAATCAGTTGCCAATTACCTATGCAGGAATAACTGAGCTAGAAAGCAGACATGCATACAGTTACTATACAGTACACCCTGATGTAGGTCATCAAGAAATGTAATCATCATGATAGAATATCATTTCATTTAACTAAACAAAAACAAACTTCTAGGAAGCTTACCAACATCAACCCATCAATTTGCGAATCATGATATCATGAATTAATAGTATCGAAAACCTACATGCTCATATATCTCCAAGGTACTCTTGTGTTAATTTGTCGTTAGTAGCGATTGTGCAGGTGTTAAAAGACCACAACAGGGGGGATCATTTTGAGTAAGCCCAACAAGGTCAAAGAAGCCTTGAAAAGAGCAAGTCATAGAAGATGCATCTACAGTGTTGAAGACATCCCAAAAACAAGCTAAGGAGATCAAGTGCTATGAATGGCCCTAGCCAAGTACGAGGACTAGTGACTAGTCACAATGCCTAACAGAAAGAGACCGGTAGTTGACTCAAGCCAAGAACCTTTAACGATGTGCAGTTGTGACACTCCTGGAAAACTTAGTTGTTAGCTAGATCACTGCTTCAACAGGAATTGTAGAGACTAGGAGGTTAGATTGGAACATGCATGAAAGTTAGTGAGACGGATGTCAACAGTAGAATATTCTAGGAGACATGAACCCGCATGACATAACCTGAACCAGTAGTGAGGTATTCGGGGTAGTGGTAGTGCAAACAGTTGAGGAACTTCGGCTATAAATAGCTAAGCATGCTACTGGTCAAAGGATGACACTTTGCAAGCCTTAACAAGCCTCTTTATCTTTTTTCATCACACCTTTATTTTATTTGCAATTAGATCAGTGTTAGTATCACATGAGGAGGCCCAAAATATGAAGTTCCACGGGGGTCGAGCCCCATGCCTTATCAAAGCTAGGCACACCACTAATGAAAGATTTCGACTTTGCCTTGTATGTGAAGTTGGAAATGGTAATTGCACAAGCAACATTCAAGAGTGACTTGAAGGTTAGCTTGCCAACCTCTTTAGTATCAAGAGGTTATCAGAAGAAATATCAACATATTTGCATCGACTCAATCAAAAAAGGAGTAAGAACTACACATCTATTCCCAAGCACAACAAACTTAAAATAGCTGCCCAAGAGTTAGAGAGGGTAAGATTTGTCTATCAGGGAAAAACTAGCAGACCAAACAATCACCAATATAATGCAACTATCAGATCTCTCATTAAAAATTAACATTTAAAGGTAAATTGAGTGAGAAATGTGTCAACACGGAAGAGAACCCAATGGGGTAAAGAGTAGACACCGTTTATTTATATGAAAATAGGAGACTGAAATTTTACTTTTATATTAGCAGTACTTTGTTTTTCTTTTGAAGCTCATCATATACAGCAATTAATGATACGAAGATAATCTGTCTGGAAAACCTAAGGTGGATGCAGTATCCTTCTTAAGTAGTTACACAAAATCCAGGACGCTTCTGGTCTCAGGGCACGAATTGCAAAGCTTCTCATTGCTAATAGCCTAATCTAGGACTCTCATATGTAATCTAGGAATTTTATGAAACAAAACTTTAAGTGCTTTGACGATACACACAAAAACCAACTAAATTGCAACAATACCTTCAGTTTCCTACACTATTATTCCTCTCTACATATTGATCAACAGGTCAGGAACCTCTTCCACAATTTTTTTGGTTGGAACTTGAACCTAAGCTTCTAAGACCACATGGAAAGGGAACTAAATTCAATATTATAACTGTTTATTTTGTAGCATTATATAGCAATGACTAATTTAGGCAGCATGTGCAAGAAATACAGAGGGAGGCATTAGACACACACAGAGAGAGAAAGAGACAGAGAGAGAAAAGATGATGAAAGCTGATTCGTATAGAGAAAGCCAGAAGTACCAATACTGAACCAGCAAAAAACACACTTGAATTTACCTTTCATGTTGTGCAAACAGAGAAGTGCAATACATTTATATAAAAATTATATAAAGATAGAAAAATATTAAGATGCTAATAAAGCACCACACACATATTTTGGTAGATTCAAACCTTCAGCTCGGATGTTCTTAAAGTTTTAATCACAAATCTGTCATCATGAGAGAGATAGAAAAGGCTGCCACTTTTCCCTGGAGAAGACAGCTCTCTTAAACCATCATCGCCACATATGGACATCATATACTCTGCAGCATCTAACTTGAACATCTCCCTCAAATTCCTGAAAAAGAAACTCCATCATGATATATTAAAACTACACAAACATCAATGTAACATGGACAGTAGAATATCACGTAAAGGGTTCCCAACACTTACCAAAAAAGATATTCAAGTTCATCAGACACAAAATGTGACACCCCTCACCCAAGAAACCCTTATCCCTCTAACCACAAGGCATCATCAATATGGCGGAGTTCATTATATAAATCCAACTCGATGAACATCCTTTCATTAATAAGAGTTGATTATCAGTTAGATTGATTGTGGAAGCTTAAATTTACATAATATGCATCCCATAACTAATATGGGAGTTAGAGTTTGTTATAACTAAACTCCTGTTAGTTTTCTGTTAAAGATAGCAATTGATTGTAGTTTTACCAGCTATAAATAGAAGTTTCATTCTTGTAGAAGAGGCATGAAGATAATAAAAGAATGACCTTCTTTCTCTATAAATCTCTCTCTATTATCTTCCTAAATCCTCATTTCTCATGTTCTGCCATTGAAGGACATCTTCAAGCTTCCTGTATCAGTGGTATCGGAGCATAAACCCCGTATTCTTTTGAGTTTCTCCAATGAAGCAAGCAAGTCTGACCCCTCCGATAACAAGAAAATCGTCAGGGATGGAGGAAGAAATCAAAACCCTAGAGAAGAAAACTGAAGATCAAAACAAACAATTTGAAGATCAAAGTAAGAAAATGATACAGATGATGCATGAGATGAGAGGATCGCCTCTATCAGAATCTTCTTCTGATCCGACAAGGATTAACAACAATGGAGGATCCAATTCTGATAAGGAATGACAAAATCAAGTTAACCGGAACAGAGGAAATTCAATGGAGAAGATGATGTAATTTTCATTAAAAAGATAAAAGCAATCAAATGATTGTCCAGGGAAGATCCCTCTCTCAAAGCTATGAGCTAAGAGCCAATATATTGGAAAAGAAATAACATAACCCGCAAAAAAACGTCACTCCCCTCTATTTATTATTCTCTCTCCTCTAACCAACTCCTAGCCACTATCTGGATTTACCCCTCTGCCCTTCTAGAATAAACATACATTATCCTAGGCTTAGTGACTTTTGGTAATAATAAATCAGCATTCGTATCGTTACTCCTGCCTTCAAAAAAAGTCTTGTCCTCAAGACTTGCATCCGGAAACTGACTTTGGAGGGAAGAGAGGTCCCTGGAAACAAACCCCTTGATTTGACAGGAAGACTTGGGAACAAGAGGAGCTGTTTCATCATAAGCTAATCAAGTTTGAAGGGAGCTAGAGGCTGTTGAGAAGGAGTCAACCCTTGAATTAGAACAGATTCACCCTGATGCATAAAACGCATGCAAGACTTAAAATGTACAGTATCAAACACCAATGCATTCACATAAAATGTACAACCTCTACTAGGATTTGAAGATTAACACAACGGTGAGTAACAAACACTTTATGACCATCTCCCAATCGTATGTTGATACCTCCAAACAACGTGTATGGAAGACCCAATGAGAGTACTAGTTGTTGAGAAACAAAATTGTGAGTTGCCCCACTATCCACCAAAATCACAACTGGTATATCTCGTATCGATCCTTCCAATTTCAATGTCTTACCCCCTGATGTCACCGAGGTAGCCCCAAAAAATTCCAACGTTGTATACAACCCAAGCACAGAATGATCAGTTGGTTGATCAATCTCTGGTTGGTCTTCTTCTAATGTAAAGTGATTACCTTAATCGACACCATACTCATCATCCCCTAATAGCAGCACCCTTAACTTTCCCTCCGGGCATTTGTGACCAGGACCAAACTGTTGGCCACAACGAAAACATAAACCCTTCTTACGACGATCTTCCCATTCCGATCGTGTAAGGGAGCGAATTCCCCGATCACGATGCAGGAGTTGCGCAACCTCCGAAGAACCAGACCCTGATTCACGATTTGGGGAAGAAATGTGATTAGAGTCATTACGAGACGGAAAGACCCTATCACCAGGTTTGGAAGATATGGGCCCCTTTGACTAAATCCGGCCCATAAATGAAGAACGATCCATGTGTGGAGCAGACCCAAGCCCACCCTGTTGTTGGTAACGGAAACGGGTTGGGAGATGTTACCGGTAGTGGGTCGGAGCATTTCTTCCACATCCTTAACCAAGTACATGGCATCCAACCTAGACTGAGGACAATGCAATCGTACCCAACGTTTGACTTCATCACGTAAACCAACGATAAAATACCCCAAAGCTTGGGACTCTGGCAATTTAGGAACTAAGGACACCAAATACTCAAAATCATCGATGTAATCGTAAATGGAAGAGGATCGCTTAATAGTCGCCAATTGTTCATACGGATTCTGGATTTCCAAACCGCTAATCGTTGTAACAATTCAATTTGAAATTGGTCCCAAGTAATAGAATCATGAACTTGCTTAACAATTGTAAACCAATGTTGAGCAACCCCTACCATACTCAATTGAGCCAAACGAAGTCAGAGGGAAGGAGGAGTACCGTTAATATCGAAATACGGAGTTGCTTTCTGAATCCATCCTTGCGGACCGAACCCGTTAAACTCCGGCAATTTGATCTTCTTTATAGCCCATGGAAGGCCATCGGTGGTTTTAGGCGGAGTCGGACCCCCACCAAGCGATTCACCAGACCCAAAAGGTGGATCGATGGTGCCAGAGAAACCACTGAAATCCCCCATCTGATGTTTTCCTTGTTGTTTCACCCACCCCATCATCACTTTGCGAAATTCGCTGGACTCAACTCGATCAGCCTCCAAAATCTGAATTGTCGGCTTGATTTCCACCAATATCAGACTGTAAGCGCTGAATAATTTCCTCATGTTGCTCAAAACGAGATTGAATGGAACGTGTTTCTGATACGAATCGGGAATTAATTAAAGACGATGCAAATAAGCCTAGAATATTGCATGTGTATTCTAGAAGGGGTAAAAAGGGAAATGATAAAAGTGGCTGAGGTTTGTTAGAAGAGAGAGAAGAATAAATAGTGGAGGGTGATAACTGAGTCGGGTATTCTGTTTTCTTTCATGATTGTTTAGGCTCCAATCTGTTGATTGTGAGAGAGGGGTTTCCCTGAGTTTCTTCTTTGTACTCTGTCCGATTTAAGTTCAATGAAATCATCATCTCCTTCCTTCCATTTCTGTGTTCTTACTCGTTTTGCATTGAATTGAATTCGTTAACCCATCATTGGTCCAACCTGCCCTTGACCTGCCCTTAACCTGCAATTTCTTTTGTTTTCCGTCTCGTTATCGATGGAAACTCGTTCTGTTCAACATCGAATTGAGCAACATGAGGAGCTTCTTCATCAACTTCAAGCGGATGTTACCGATATCAAAACCACTCTGCAGACCTTGGAGGTGGATAGGACTGAATCCTGCGAATTTCGTAAAATCATGTTGGGAGGGATGAAACAAGAAGGAAAACACCAGTTTCCGGATTCAGGGAGTGGTTCGGGATTAGGTGATCAATTTTCGGGTCCCTTCTTCGATGTTCACAACAACGGTGGAGGACCTGGTGGTGGTGGCTATAACCCTCACACAGTCGCCAATGGTTTACCTTGGGCAGTGAAGAAAGTCAAATTACCGGAGTTTTCTGGTTTTGACCCTCAGGGATGGGTTCAAAAGGCCAATTTGTATTTTGACATCAACATCACTCTGGCTCATCTTCGACTGCGTTTGGCACAATTAAGTATGATGGGGGTGGCTTAACATTGGTTCACCATCGTCATGCAGGTTCATGAGGCGCTTACCTGGGAGCAATTTCAGGCTGAATTGCTGCAACGATTAAGTGGATTGGAGATCCAAAATCCTTACGAACAGCTTGCTACCATTAAGCAATCCTCCTCCATTCATGATTATATCGACGATTTTGAATACCTTCTGTCGTTGGTTCCTCGATTACCGGAAGCGCGGGCATTGGAATATTTTGTGGCAGGGTTACGAGATGAGGTTAAAAATGGGTTCGGTTACACCGTCCTCAGTCACGTTTGGACGCTATCTATTTAGCAAAGGACGTCGAAGAGATGCTACGTCCGTCATCAGGTAATCTGTCTCACTCCCGCTTTCGTTATCATCAGGGTTCTGGTGTTAGTCCAGTGCGTCAAGGGGATGTCAACGCTTTTACCTTGGGCCGTCCAGATGGTAGAGGCCCATTTACACCTAAATTCATGGATCGTTCATTGAGTTCTAAGTCCTCTCATAATTCTCGTCCATATGGGTCTCCAACTTCCGACAGTCCTTTCGGTAATCAAAAGGATCGGAGGTATCGCTCTCTTACTCGAACGGAATGGGAAGAGCGCCGCAAAAAAGGGTTATGTTTTCGATGTGGACAACAATTTCGGCCAGCTCATAAGTGTCCCGAAGGGAAGCTACGAGTATTAATGCTGGGCGATGATGAAGATGATTTGGCTACAGGGTACCTCTGTTATTTAGAGACTTCCAACGAACAAACCATTACAGGAGAGGAGCAGGTTCCGTCGGGAATGTGTGCCGCTTTGGAGTCTTTTAGGGTTTCCACTGAGGTGACACCAGGGGGCAAGATGATGAAGTTTGAAGGGGCAATTCGAGATATTCCGATTACCATCCTAGTCAACAGCGGAGCAACTCATAATTTCATTTCTCAATATTTGGTAACATCTTTGGTCCTACCTTTTAATTGTTGTTCGGGAATTAGTATCAAATTGGGGGATGATCATAAAATACTTGTTGATAAACAATGTCTTAATCTCCAAGTATTGGTGGGAAATCATGAATTCACTGTGGGTATGTTGATTTTCGATGCTGGAGAACTGGAGTTGGTTTTGGGTATGGCTTGGCTTAGAACATTGGGAGAAGTGGTCCACAATTGGGAGAAGGCTTGGATGAAATTCAATTTTAATGGGGTCTCAGTTTTTCTTCAAGGAATGTGTGTAACTCAGGGGTCCTTTGATTCTCTACAACAATGGTTGATTACTTCTGAAGGATCACTAGCTGCCACTTCTTCCCTACCGGCAAATGATGTGGGTTTTGGAGATGATTCAACCACGACGCAAGGGAAAACCTTACAATTGCTTTTAAGTCAGTTTCCGAAGGCTTTTCAGACATCGTCTGGCCTTCCTCCAGCGAGAACTCATGATCATGTTATCACTCTCCTTTCTCCTCATAACCCAATATGTGTTCGTCCCTATCGGTATCTCCATGTGCAAAAAACAGAGATTGAACGATAGGTGCAGGAACTCCTTTCTCTTGGTATGATACGGCCCAGTAAAAGCGTTTTCTCGAGCCCTGTTATCTTAGTACGGAAGAAAGATCAAACGTGGAGGATGTGTGTGGATTATAGAGCTCTTAACAAGGCTATGGTGGCAGATAAATTTCCGATTCCCATGGTTGAGGAACTCATTGATGAATTACACGGGGCTCAATTTTTTTCTAAACTCGATTTAAAATCGGGATATCATCAAATCCGTATGCACCCGGATAGTGTTGAGAAGACAACATTTCGTACTCATGACGGTCATTACGAATACCTCGTGATGCCTTTTGGACTCATGAATGCGTCGACTACATTTTCAAGCCATTTATGTGTTCTTACTCGTTTTGCATTGAATTGAATTCGTTAACCCATCAGTTTCCATCGGAAATTTGGAAATGAGGTTGGAAAACAAGAGAAATGGCAGGTCGGACCAATGATAAGGAATGACAAAATCAAGTTAACCGGAACAGAGGAAATTCAATGGAGAAGATGATGTAATTTTCATTAAAAAGATAAAAGCAATCAAATGATTGTCCAGGGAAGATCCCTCTCTAAAAGCTATGAGCTAAGAGCCAATACATTGGAAAAGAAATAACATAACCCGCAAAAAAAACGTCACTCCCCTCTATTTATTATTCTCTCTCCTCTAACCAACTCCTAGCCACTATCTGGATTTACCCCTCTGCCCCTTCTAGGATAAACATACATTATCCTCTGCCTCTCCTCGAACTCTCGGGTACGTAACAAAACTGGGTTTTCCAATATTTGATGGTTCTAATCCAAGAATTTGGACAAGAAAGTGTTGCAATACTTCTCATTGTGTAAAACACCTTAAGATCAGAGAGTAGATCTAGCTTCACTGAACATGGTCAACAAGGCAAAAAATTGGGTTTCTAGCTATTTGTCCTTAAGGAGGAGTGTGGATTGGAACAATTTTGTTATTGATCCGACAACCCGGTTCAAAGATGAATTGGGAGTGAATGTGGTGGAGCAATTCAATAAGCTTCAACAACATGATTCATTTGAAACTTACATCAACGAATTTGAGAACCTTTTGGCAATAATGTTGCAAAATAACTATGCTCTACCAGATTCTTATGTTTTAGATAGTTTCATTGGGGTTTGAAGCATGCGGTTAAGCCAATTTTAGGAGCATTCAAGCCTACTTCATTGGAAGGTGCAGTAGAATTTGCAAGATTGTAGGAAGAATCTTCGAGTTTTATTAATTCAAAAACAGAACCCAATAAATTTATTTTACCGAAACCTTCCAAGTACCTATGAACAATAACATTCAACCACCTCTATTATCAATTCCCCCCAACTAACATCCAACAACCTCTATAACCAACTTCTTTAGCTAAGACAATGACAATTCCATTGGCAAAGTTTCACTCAAAAACCAGTAAGAATTTCGGACATATTCCAGCAGATGTGAGAGCCGAGAAAGTTGCAAAAGGCTTGTGTTATTTTTGTGATCAGCCTTGGCAACATAAATGTCAATTCAAGGAGGCACAACTGTTTATGGTTGAAATTCAAGCAGGGGATAGCGAATACTGCAATATGGTGAGATGGAACAAGATGATCCAGAGAGGTACTTCCACACCAGACAAGTTAAAGGATTGACATAGACTTGAGGACAAGTCTTTTTGGAAAAGGAAAGTATGATGAGGGATTTAGAGTTTGTTATAACTAAACTCCAGTTAGTTTTCCGTTAAAGATAGCAATTGATTGTAGTTCTACTAGCTATAAATAGAAGTTTCATTCTTGGAGAAGAGGCATGAAGATAATAAAAGAATGACTTCTTTCTCTATGATTCTTTCTATATTCTCTTCTTCAGAAATCTTTCATCTCATGTTCTACCATTAAAGGACGACTTCAAGCTTCTTGTATTAGTAAATAAGGTCCTAGATACCATTTTGACGTGATAAGGTTATCAAAACTCTATTTGTAAACTTGAGCTTTCAAACTTAAGGGCTTTGGTGGGCCACTAGAACATATTCATAGTTTTCCCTTGGAAACTAAATATTTCTCATTTGGGTTGGAAAGTATACTTTCACAAAAAAAATTACCGAACCTCTTTTACAAAAGAAAGTAGATTTGGGTTAAAATTGGAAGTTCTAATTGTCAATAGACTTTTGGTTTCGGTAGAACCGGAAATTAGAATACTTTCTCATGACTAAATTGGTAAAATTATAGTTATTAAGTTCACAAACATTATGTGACCCTAGTGCTCTAATGGAGAGCCTGGGTTTGATTCCGCTGAGTGAACCAAAAAATGCGCCCACACATTGGTGTCCTTGGAGGCGGGTTCTGTGTGGGGCCGGTTGGGTTGCCAACTTTTTTCTCAAAATCATAGTTATTAAGTTCACAAACTTTAAGTGAACCTAGTACTCTAATTGATATCTTCTTATTATTTGGAACAATATCATAAAGAGCAAAATGTGCGAAATAGCAACCTACTTTTACAAATTTCCTTATTATAGGATTGTACTTTTAGTTTTTCTTATTACAGCATTGTACTTTCAAAATATTTTTTATTAGGACATCGTACTTTCAGAACTTTACCCGTTATAGCATTGGGTAACCTTTTAAATTAAATTTACCTATTATACCAGGTTTCTTTGCCAGCTCATCGTCCACGTAGGCTGTCCACATGTACGATAGTGCTGACATGACATTTCTTATTATAGCGTTGTACTTTCAAAATTACTTTATTATGACATTACCAATTTCTGTTACAGCATTGTAATTTTAATTTTAATATTTTTATCATTTAAACATTGTAAATTTTATAAAATATGTTTACTAAAAATTATAATAACAAAAATTAAACATGCTTACAAAAGATCAATGTTTCACGAATAAAAATATTCATAAAAATTGTTTTAAACATGTCTACAATTCAGACATCACTTTTTTATAAATATTTTTATTCGTGAAATAGTGATCTTGTAAACATGTTTAATTTCTGATATTATAATTTTTAGTAAACATATTTGATTAAATTTACAACGTTTAAATGATAAAAATATTAAATTAAAAGTAAAATATAGTAATAGAAATTGGTGATGTTATAATAAAGTGATTTTGAAAGTACAATGTTATAATAAGACATGTCATTTCAGCACTATCGTACATGTGGACAGCTTACATGGATGATGAGGTGGCAAAGAAACTTGGTATAATGGGTAAATTTAATTTCAAAGGTTACCCAATGCTATAACGGGTAAATTATTGAAAGTACAATGCCCTAATAAAAAATATTTTGAAAGTACATTGTTGTAATAAGAAAAACTGAAAATACAATGCTATAATAAAGAAATTTGTAAAAGTAGGTTGCTATTTCTTGCATTTTACCCTTTCATAAATTTTGAAACTTAAAATACTAAGGGTTTTGGCTTTTAAAATAATTTATAGAAGTCTTAAAACTTTTGGGGTGAAAATCTTCAATCTTGGGGACGGATCGACCTATAATGCGACTCATAGGTCACCCGACTGCCCACTTCGCGAGTTGGATCAATTGTGCAAAGTTTGTGGGAAGCGTTTTCATGCCCAATCAGACTGCAGCCACCAAGGACACACCCAGACTTGGCACTGCCATGGTACTGCTTTCTTACCACCACCATCATTTTGACAATGGGTGGTGGTTCATTGTTAGGGCCCCATTTTGACTAGATTTTTGATTCATTATGAAGAGAACACAAATATATATATATATATATATATATATATATGTATGTATGCATGAATTTTTTTGTGATCAACAAAGGATGTATACCTTGATATTTGCCCCTTAACTATTCAATCCAAAAATGAAAACTTTCTTGATTTCACTCTATAAAGACTTTAACATACAAGAATATTCAGCAACTCAATTTCTACTCGGCAATGGAGCGACAAGGTCTCTCATTCTAGGGCCTCGACACTCAGGGACAATCTATCCCCGTCTAGCCTCTATTGGAGGGAGCATGTTGGATTCCTACATCGGCTAGACTTGGACCATTTCTCCTCCATATACGTCGGGATCTCCCTTCCCTCTTCACGGATTTTTTGAAGAGTAATCTAATGGGGTTCAACGTATTCTCACACTTGGATTTGAGTCAATAACATCATGCCTTGCATCACTAGTGTTGACTTGATGATAAAGAGAACAATGAAAACAATCACTCTCTCGCTGTAGAGTACTCTTAGCACATGCTTAGGCTGCAGAGTAAGAAGTTCCAACAATTCCTTAACCCCTTCCTAGTATACTCTTTCAAGTTCATCTTATTAATGATGTCTATAATTATTCTCATAAGCATAAAAAAAGTCAATGATCCTACTTAATGTTAAGAAGTATAATGGTCAAGGTTACTACTGCATAGAAAGATGGCATGATCAATTGATCATATGTCCTTCAAGAAAGACTAGAAAGAAAAAGAACACATGTATTCCAGAACCAGCCAAATAAATACCTGAAGACCATAGGACAATAGTCTTTCCAATAGAAATCAATTGAACTGTGTGAAGGTGTCAATTGTGAGCCTTTCTTGGGGAAATACATCCTTATTCTTGCTCGTTCTCCAAAATCTGAATATCTCACTTCACGTGTAGGAACTGGTGTAATTTTGCCAACAGTGTACCTGTAAACCAATTACCACAAGACATGAGTTTGTGCCACAAAGGAAGTAGAGCCACAATTTAGAATCCAATTGGGCTGAAAGTGAAAAGAAGTTGGAACTCAAAGTTGGGTGCATGGGGTGGTACAAAAATATCCATGCCCACGTATTTGCTGATAGTACTTTGGTTTCTAGGATTGATAGGACATAAGTATCTGCTTCTATTTGGTTCGATACAAGTACAGGTCAGTGTTCATACGAGTATCAGAAACCTGGTTGCAGACATGGATAAGGAATTTGTGAATTGTGATGCACATCTGTACATGATCTGTCATGGATTGAGGAATCAAATTTAGGCTCCAAAAATTAGAAAATCAAGGAGATGTTTTTATCACAGCCAAGAGAAAAATGGATCCAAAGCATAATTTAGATGGGTTGATAAAAGAGGATATTCATAGCAGGGGTTCAATCACTAGTTAAAAAAACCAAACAGACATTCAAGAAAAGTACCGCATAGAACTCAGTTTAGAGTATTCATGTGCGAAAGTTCTTTTTATTTGTTTCAATCAGTACACAGAACTTAACAGTACAGGCAAGAGTGGCTCTAGTTGTGTGGAGTTTGTAGTAATATCCTACTGGACAGATTTAGTTGCATGTATCTATCATTATAGAAGAATGTTGAGAAAAATCTTAAACCAGGTCTGCCGAATCAGTTCTGGTGCGTAGAAAGTTTTACGAACATCCTCTCCCGCACAAGTGATAGGCTCAAGGGTATATGTTCTATGCATTTTGTTGGCGGAAGTAACTCAATGTCATATAGATGATAGATATCACATGCCTTGTGTTTGTGTATGAGTGCGTGTATTGTGTTGACTCGTGTGCTTTGCCTATTATCTTCACTGTTTCTTGATTATATACTGCTACTCCACTCGTACATACGGCCCGAGGGACCTATGAGCAATGATAAGGCATGGCCTTCATGTTTAGTTCATTTTACCTGATACCTAGTTGTAGATTAAGCATCAGATAGTAGCTTTTATTGCCTTCAAACAGGTCTGCAAATGACCTCTTTTTCACTTCCTTCATTTGAAATTTGCGCGGCTGCTCCTTTTTGTCCAACAATCCTGCATTATTCTTTGTTCTTTCGTTGATCAGAACTCCTTGGACATATTCCCTTTCACAAACTACAGTACTATTATCATCTACTTCACTTCCACCTTCATCAGAGGTATGAGATAATGTGTCGGTCTTGTCGAACGCAGAGAATTCCCTAGCAGAATCGCCAATGCTCCACTCTTCGGCCAACGATGTTCTCTTACTTGATATTTGACCCGAGTCTCTGAAGAATCCACTAATGGAAAACTTGTCAGATAGACTACGGCCTATACTTCGTGTCCTATCCTTGAGGCTCTCCGACCTAAAGGAAGAACTAGGAGTTACCAAAACTTTCTTTTTGCCTAATCTTCTTGAAGATGGATGCGTACTTCCTGCAGGATAGAATGTGCCTTGTCCATCCTTGAGGCCCTTGGTCCACATCCCAAAATAATAACTACCATCTGCAAACCTATAAACTCCTGATCCATGCCTATACCCATTTGACCAATAGCCATCAAACAGATCGCCATTCAGCCATTTCATCACCCCTCTACCACACATTGATCCCGCTTTCCAGTTTCCAATATACATGTCACCATTACCCCAAGCATATTTGCCACTGCCTTCATGCACTCCTCCTTTCCAAGAACCATCGTAAACATCAGAATTGCTATACTGCCTTCTTCCAAACCCATGCTGAATGTTCAACCTCCAGGAGCCTATGTATGTAGACCCATCTGGATTCGTCAATGTACCAAAACCATCAAGGTAACCCCCAGAAAAATCACCCTCATAGCTTGCTTCTGATGACCAAGTGATCCGTCCCACCCCAGTCATTTTTCCTTCTACCCAACTACCCTCATAAACTGTACCGTCGGACCACGTGTACTTACCCCTGCCATGGGGAATCATTCCCTTGACATTACCAAAGTACACATCTCCATTTAAAAAGATTTCCGAACTCATCCTGAAACCTCAAGGTATACAGCAGATCATCGTCAGATTGAGATAATACAATTCACAGATGGTTTTGCAAGCCTGCATGCCTGCAAACAAGTTCTTTTGCTAAAGAGTAACTGATGCAACACTTTTACTTATGAAATGGAAAATTGTTGCAAATCAACACTGTACCTGTAACTTCTCTTTGCAGCTAGTCAATATTCACTGATATGCAGTCCTGAAAATTAAAATGTCAGACAATTCAATAGGTGGGAATCGAACTGAAATGCAGTGCATTTATCTAATAGTGATATAACATTAAATGTGAAAGGATAGCAGTGATATTTGAATACGTACTTAAACGGTCTTCTGTGCCAGTCTAATCATAAATTGCTACATTAAAAAAAACTTTTGAGTAATCTCTAGGATATTTCCTTGTTACTCATTATTGACCTTGCTTTCTTTATTATAAATTCTTTTGTGACACTTTGTACAAGAAATAAACTCGATTCCATGCAATAGCACACAGCTATCATAGGAGCAGAGTTAAGCAAACATCATGATTCCGTCACAACCTTGCAACCTGTGAAATAGTAAAATTGGACCAAAAGATTGAAATGCAATATACTTCAACTTTATTCTTCCTGCTGGGAAATTTGTACAAGCACATGGATAGACAGGTTAAGTTGAATTTCTGAACTCTACTCCAGTAAATAATAGATTTCTAATCCTGTTTCAGTTTGTCAAAAACTCCTTGCATCAGAATGCAACATAACACCTGTTACATTGATATTTCAGATATCTCACCTCAATTCAGAACTGTTTCTGAACCCCAAGAAGGAGCTGAATACAATGTCAAAACGAACAATGGGAACTTGCAAAGATACACACCTGAATTTTAAAACCATCCTTGTTTTTTATTCATCTTATACAACTTAACCACTGACTTCTGCACATATAATGAAGATAGTAGCTGACTACTAATGCATGATCATAATTGTTTTTCTTGGCGGAAAGTAATATTTGAAAGACTATCTATTAAGTTTTTTTTGTTAAAATGTAACATGTGTCACAGTAAACAATAGCTGCAGAGATCATAGTTGACATTTCATCCCAGACAAACAGAATTTAAATATCCCAATTTGATTTTGAAGATGTCCAAGAATAGGATATTCTTCAATCCAGACATGAACAACACAATTTAAATAAAAAATAATTTTGACTTCTCAAAAATACATTGTTTAAAAAATTCACCTACACCAACGGAACTGTGTGCTTGGAAACAGATAGATGGTCTTATATTATATAGAATTATTGAGCACTACATATTTGAACACTGAAAGGAATATACATATAACTTGACACATAGAGAGACTAGTCCTTATCAGCTCTGTTTAAAACGTTTATCTAAATTGCAATCAAGAAGATATATACTTTTCTTTACCAAATATCAAACATTCCAAGGACGAAAGTACTACTGAATATTGACCAGTGATCGAGTTTGACGCTTCCACATTCCACCTTAACATTTCTACTCTAATAGTTTAATCAATACAAAAAATTCATAAATGCATTATATTCTTCTACATTTTTCCTACAGAATCCGATCACTTCATATACGCAGTCACCATGAAATTAGTTAACACATGATCAAACTAAAACATCTTAATTCAGTTATGATTTTAATGAACAAGAGCGAAATACATAATTTCTAAATAATATTCGATATTTCGATTCTCTACTGATTTACGCTTCATAATCGAACATAATTTGCTGAAACTAATACCAGCGTCGATGCTATAGAAATTCCAGGAAGAACAACATGCATACCAAGAAGAACACAAAACAGAATCTCATAAACTCAACGCCAATTCAATTTTACCAGAAAAAACAACACATACTCACCGACGAAATTGAAGAAGTGACCTATCAAATCAAATCAAATACCAGATTGAGATTGATATTGCAGAAAATCAGAAAGAAAAACGATATCTTCCGATGAAGCAAATGTCTGATAAGATATGAACTTGGAACTCCAGTATCAGATTCGCGCTCTAGAAATTCTGCCGTTGGGGAAGTTCAGTGCGAGGGGGCTTTTTAGAAAAAAATTAGGGGGGAGGGGGCAAACATCGTTCAAGGGGAATAATATAGTAGAATGCGTCGCAAGCATGCAAAATATTGTCTGGAGAAGGATGACCGTCGGATGAGAAATGAACGGTCTCAGGGGTTTCCCTGGTCCTTCTCGCCGACTATATGCCGACGCAAGGCATATATGGTGAGGTGTTAAGTTGAAGTTTGGACGATTCTTTGTTTTAGTAAATAAGAAATGAACTCGTTCGTAATTTAAAAAAAAAAATTGCTTCCCTATATATTTTAGGGGGTGTTTGGAATGGTTATAAAAATAATTTATTGACTTATTCCGGTGTGATATCGATAATAAGCACTTTTGTTAAAGCGGTAATAAGGAGTTTTTGAAGAAGTTAAAACATTCAAACTTATAATAAGTTGATAAGTATTTTTTGTAGAAAAATATAAGTTGTTTCACAATATGAAACCTTTTTACGTGTTTTTTTTATTAACCTGGATATCCAACTCGCTATACAAGCCGACTAATCTCAGGGTGAACACCTACTTTGCAGATAGCCTGGAATTACCGCATTTGAACTTGAGACCTCCTGGTAAAATGATATAAAAACGTGTTTTTGTTCACTAAAATACATATAAAAAGGTTTCATACAGCAAAACAAATATATGTTAATCAATATCTTAAATCCTAGCAATTGAATGAAAAAGAAAAATCATAAGAAACAATACCTTAAATTACAAATTCTTATGATCATCACACGATTTGAGATTCTCGTTTGATTGCGTCCCCATTTAATATAAGATTGCTAACCACACCAAAAAAAACCTAATATATTCCACATGAATATAGGGTTTGGGAAAGTAAAACGTATGCAAATCTGACATCTACCCAATTTTTATTTAATTGATTAAAAAAATATAATAATTACATGTTTTTCTCATTATGATCATTTATTTCGAATTATGTTATGATAGTTGATGAATTATGTAAATATTGTTGGAACAATTGAATGAAAATTTAAAAAAATGAGGTGGTTGACTTTTTTTTTTGGTTACAATAAATGAAGTTAATAATTGTAATTAACATAGCTCGTGGCTACTTAAAAGAGTTCGATTTCAAGCAAAATTCGAATCAAAACCATGGGTTTTCTTTTATTGTTATCAAAGAGCTTTTAGCTTAACGGTATCGTAGTCTTTGACTTTCTAGAAAATCAGGAGTTCAAATCTTACCAAAGATGAAAAAAATATATGAATTTTTTTGTTACATTTGTCGTATATAAATATTATATACTTAAAAAAAAATCATAGGTGTTGTTGATTCTCCACTACAAAAGAAGATCATAAGAAAAAAAATATATATAATAATAAAATAACATATTAAATTCATTTAAGTAGCATAATTTTTTGAAAAACAGAAATTGGAAATCACTAAATAAAGAATCTAGAAATTTACATAAATACCCTTATAGTTACAATATTAACATTGTATCAATGATGACGCGGTTCATCATTTGTCGCTTGTTTAGTGAGGCTCTTTTATCACCACCAATTGTGATAACGAAATTACTATTAATTTACAAATAAGATATATAATATAGTTTTGTGAAAGACCGTAGCTCAAAACTTATGTCTTACGTCACGTTAAATTTGTGACGTGTCATCGCCTAATACGCCATTTTTGTAACAGGATGTTTGATTTTTCTTATCTTTTTAATCTGATTTAATTATTTAAATTGTTTAATATTATTGATTCATTGAGTAAATAGTAGAAAACATATATATATATATATATATATATATATGGTTGGGCTTCGGTAAGAATGGTAAGAAATGATCTAGACCCTTGGATCAATCATAATTGAAAAGAATTACTAAATCAACACTAATGAGATACACTAGATCAATTCTTTTCTAAAACGCAATTCATGGGTTGTTTGATGATAAAACATGATCAAGGGTCCAAATCCCTACTTACACTCTCTGAATATATAATATTATATGTGATATTGAGATTTATCGTCATAAGTCACGTCTTGAAAAACGTTGTGGCCTCGCCGTGACTCCTAAGACTTAAGGTTTGGCTTTGCCTTCACGCTACGCCTCACCCCTGAACGCACTTTTAAGGTGGATCAAAAGTCCATAAAATCGTTCAATGTGTTTTTATCCAAATTCTACCATTTCGATGGATTTTTATGTTTTTTTGGTTGATTTCTAGGAATTTTTAACTATTTTTGGTCGATTTCAAAAAGAGTTTTTTGGTTTTTCAGTTGATTTCGAAATATTTTTTCATTTTTAGTTGATGCTTCTTATATTTTCTAATATACCAGAACACCCCTCAGCACATTTCATTCCTAAAAACAATCCTACTTACAAAAAATATGTTATAAACGATGACGTTTCAATATGTTTTTGCTTTCTGAATTTAAAGTGAAAAAAAAGGTAACATTCTTAAGGTATTGATTGCAAAAGGTTGATAAAATTAAATTTTTTTTTTTTTAAGGGTGTCCGGGTCAAAGCCCGACTAATCCCCGGCAAATTTGGAGGCTAAACATGGCCCCACTTAAATGTCGTCAACACTCCCCTCCCAGGGCTCGAACTCGGGTTCATGACTATGTCATGCTTTACCACTAGGCTGGAAGGTCTTTGACAGTAAAATTAAAAGTTGAGGTAAAAATAAGAGATTTTGTATTTGTCTAAGATAATCAACTTTGTTATATAAGTTACAATCGCTAGGAAATTGATAATCGAAAACTAATTATTTATTCATAAATAATTACAATTTTTTTGAAGGTCCTGCTACATATAAAGTTGTTAATTACATTGAATAAATGAGATAAAAGAGATACATATATGTTAAAAGAAAAAAGGAGGTTAAACCTAAAAAATTAATAATTTGAACCTTAACCAAAACAATTAACAATTTGAACCTGAACAATTTAAACCAATTTGAAACTAAACAATTTGGATTATAATTTTACACAGGTCGATGAAAGATTCTAATCGAACTTTTGTTCACAATCTCATATTTAAAGAAGGACGCCGTTAAAATTGATTGTTGGTGGGGGCGGGGGAACACTAGTGATGGTGATGTCAAGGCGGCGATATGTTTTTGTGATGGAACTTATAAAGAGGGTAAAATCGTCATTCTTAATTAATATAATACACAATAAGATGTCTTTGCTTTGACAAACTCCAATAAATGACTAATTTGGTAATTGAAGGAATTCAAAGGAGTTAAAGTAGATTCCAATCTTTATCACATAATTAATCCAAAATAGAATGAAATCTGATCAACGGAATTAACATTTCCAATCTATATAGATTCAACTGAAATTGGACGAACTAAACAATACTTAAAGGGGTGTTCAGGTTACAGAATGGAATTTGGTGGAAATGGAATTCATCAAATGAATTTGACTCTAAAGGAATTGTAATGAAATTTGATGGAATTTAAACACACACTTGGTTTGCAGGAATTGGAATAGAATCTCACAAAAGAATTAGAATTTGCATGTGTTGGGGGATGGGGGTGGAGGTGGCGGTTGGGATAAGCACAATAGCAGCATGGTGTTGTCGGGGTGGGGATGGGCAGTTGTTACGACGATAGTAGTGAGGGTGATGGTAGGTGCATGGCGGCTGTGACGACGCCACTTTCAACCCGATTCACCACCTACGTGCCCTTTACCCCCAGTCATTCCAAATAGAGCTTTTGTACATTTTCGTTAATCTATGAACAACTCACCAGAAAGCAACTAATTGTCTTCCTGTTTCGCTGGATGTAAGAGTAAGAGATAGGATCTTTCCGAAAACCTTATGAACCATAGGTGCCACTTCAAAAATTCTTGGCCTAACCAATTATTTTATGCAATAATAAGGTGGTGGTAGGTGAGTGGTGGGGGTGCAAGGCGATGGGGGGGGGTAGAGTGGTGGGATGGGATGGGGTGAGGTGGGATGGGGTAGATAGCAGTTGTGGCGGCAATAAAGGTTGGTTGTGCTGGGGAAGTGATAGTGGTGGTGTGGTGGCGACAGGGTAGTGGAATGTAATATTAACAGGTTGTTTTGGCAATGGAAGTGGTGGTGGTTAGGATGTTGGTGGCGACTGGCGAGAGTGGTAGGGCGGCTGGGTGGTCCAAGTGGGGTGTAAGTGTTAGTTTAAATTGGATGTAAGGTTGTGTTGGGTACATGGGGAGGACGGGACAAGACTCACTGTCTCACATTTGGCACGACATGGGACAGGGACAAGGTGGGATAAAACGAGACAAAAAAAGCTTTTTCTTGTTCCACCAAAATAGGTGGAACAAGATGAGACAAGAATGAGAAAGAAATTAAAATATTGCTAATATACTCTCATTTGATATATAACCTTAATATGATTTTTGTTTTAGTGGTCACCACCGCTAGTCGTGGCTGCTGCCACCATTTGTAGCCGTCGTTGGCTACTTAGAAGAAGTCTTCCACTAAACAACCTCCTCCACAACCAAGTCGTCCACCGTCGAGCACCGTCCATCGTCACCTCCACAACCACCGTCGACCACCAACCACCACTGTCCAACGCCACCACCACCACCACCATTGGCTACCTCCTCTTCTACCACAATAACCTCCTCATCTACCTCCACAACCACCATAGTCCATCGCCACCGCCACCACCTCCACCTCCACTACATCAGCCGCAACTACCTCCTCCATCATTATCAACTGCCACCACCACCACCACTATCCACCATCTTCATGTCTTCCACAACCACCGTCGTCCACCAACAACACTGCCTTTACCTCCATAACCACCGTCGGCCACCCGCCACCATCCCCCATCGCCATCTCCACTCCAACCATAACCACCACCATCATCGACTACTAGTGTGTGGAGATCTATACCCTCAAAAGGCTATAATGACAAGTAAATCATGCAAGTATACATGGCTTACAAGTATCATCCAAAACAAGTAATATTGGTAAGTAATA